TGGGTTCAAACCCCAACTTTGTGTCATATGAACTGCATGACTTTGGGCAAGTGATTTAAACTGAGCTTCAGATTGCTCATCTGTAAAATGGGGAGAGATCCTAGATCAAAGGTAAGTGTGAAGATGAGCGCTAACGCATGTCAAGCACCTGGGGGGGGGGCGCATATGCTGGGAGCTGCGGCCGAGCTGCAGGGGACCCTCCTCTCATTGGGAAGCACTGAAGGAAAAGGGTGGGTTCAAGGTCACATCCAGAATGTAGGTCGGTGCTCTCTGCACTGGGTGCCCATCACCTACCCTGATGATCAAAACTCAGTTATAAAACATGAACGGTGAATTAGCCATGAACATAATGATTTTTTACAGATATTAATAGTGTCTGCCAACAAAACAAGAGATTTCCCCGTGGAAAAATGTTCTCATACCCTTGCTTTCTCCTACCTGATGGCTGGTGTCATATGATGCTCCCCTGCATTTTAATCAAGTCTCCATGCTCACCTCCACCCCTCCCCGCCCCACCCAAAATCTGTGGCCTATCCATGGCCACCCAGGCCCTGGGTCTGTAAAAAGACACCAGTGAGAACAGAAAATTATGCAAGCAATAATGAAATAGCCGTATCCACGGCTTGGGCAGTGGATCCTTCTCCTCCTGGTATTTACCCCTGCCTCCTCTACAGCAGCTTCCAAATGTCAAAAGTCGGCTGATGTGGGTTTGCTCCCCTCTCCCAGGGCCCAGCCCAAATCTGCCAGAGAGTGCTAATGAATAACAAAATAATCAGAACAAATATGGAGCAAATGGATTAACGCCCCCGACCTGGGGGAGGGGAGTGGAATGGTGGGGAGAATCAAACTCACAAGTGCATGATAATTGGTCAAAGTTTCCATTACTTGTAGCATAGGCTAGTCTGGGAGAGACAGGAGCACAAACCATGGTTGTCTTATACCTTGCTTGCTATTGTGTCCCTGGTGCTTACTGTGGTTCCTGCTCCATGGAGAGGTGTGGAATGAGTGAAGAAGTAAATGAAAAACATGCGTGGATGGCAAATGCCACCAAAGTGAATTCAATAGCACATTAAGGGGATTAGATACTACGACCGAGTGGGATTTATTCCTGGGATGCAAGGGTGGTAGAACATAAGTCATTGCTATAACACACCTCATGAGCAGAATAAAAGGGAAAATACGTATGTGATCATTTCCACTGATGCAGAAAGGTATTGTATCAAATCCAGCATGCCTTCACTATGGAAAGAGTCCCCAAACTAAAAACCATTGGGAACTTCCTCAATATGATGAAGAGCATTTATAAAAAGTCTACAGCTAACATCATCATATTCAATGGTAAAAGATTGAAAGCATTTTTTCTAATTACGATCAAGAACAAGATGAGGATGCTTGCTTTCTCTGCTGTTACTCAGTCTTGTACTTGAAGTTCTACTCAGAGAGAAAGAATTAATAGGCATTCAAGTTGGAAAGAATTAAAACCATCTCTAGTCACAGATGTCGGCATCTTATATATAGAAAATACTGAATAATCCACAAAAAAGGTCCAAGAGCAAAAAAGTTTAGCAAAGTTTCTAGGTTCATCCATACACACAAAAATCTATTGTGTTTCTATTTACTTTTATATATCAATAAACATTTTGCGAAGGAAATGAAGAGACCAATTTCATTGAAAATAGCTTCTAAAAGTATAAAATACCTAGGAATAAATCTAACCAAGGAAGCAAAATACTTGGTATACTGAAAACTGCAAAATACTGCTGGAAGAAAATAAAGATGGCCAAAAGTAAACACAGAGCTATTCCATGTTCATGGATTAGCAAACTTGCTATCATTGAACTGTTGACAATATACAAAACGAGCTTCAGATTCAATGCAATCCTCATCAAAATTCCAACTATCTCTTTTTTCTAGATAGAAGAGCTGACTACCAAATTCACGTGGAATTATAAGGAGCCTGTGGTAGTTACACAATTCCATGTCAACTTGATAAAAGAGCAAAGGGGTGGAGTTTAGCTTGTCAATCAGGTCACAGCCCGAAGATACCTCCTTGGGGCATGGCTTCGTCATGAGGATTCCGGGAACTTCCTCTTTTTTTTTTCTCCTGGGAGGTGGATCACACTTTCTCTCTGCTTCACCTTCCTATTGACAAGCCACACAAAGCCACATTGATGGCAGCCAGAGCCCTAGATACATCCACCACCATTGGATTGACAAGACTTTTTACCCACCGGCCTGTGATCTTCCTGCATTCGGTATCATTGTGAATGAGTATGCGAGTCTGAAGAATTTATGGACTCGTATCGGACATATGGGCTAATATCAGACTTTTGAACTTGATCTGGGATGTTTTCTCAATATACAATTGCTATTTGCTATAAAGCTCTCTCTTACACACATATGAGTGTCTCTGGATTTGTTTCTCTAGTCAACCTGGTCTAACACAGGGCCCCAATATCCAAATCAATCTTGAAAAAAATAGCAAAGTTTGACAACTCATAGTCCCAATATCAAAACTTACTGTAAAGCTATATGTGGTACTGGTATATGGAGAGGCATATAGACCAATGGATGGAGATGAGAGTTTAAGAATTGCCATATACATTTATGGCCAAATTATTTTTGACCAAGTTTCCAAGTCTAAATGGGGAGAGAATAAGTTCCTCAATAAATGGTGCTGGGACAACTGGATTTCAACAAGTATAAGAGTAACAGTGGGGAGCTTATCTCAGACCAAATGCAAAAACTTGAAAGAGATAAATAACCTAAATAGCAGTTAAAATCAAATAACATATATAAAACCATAGAAGTAAATCTCCATGTCCTTGGATTTGACAGTGGATTCTTAAATACAACACCCCAAATCACCAGTGTCAAAAGAAAAATACAGTAAGTTGGACTTTATTGGAAAACTTTTATGTATCAAAGGTTAGGTGACTAGATTTTAACATTGGTAAAGCGGGACGCCATTGATTAAACTCATATCCTGGTGAAATAGCCACGTGGGAGCTGAAAACCGTATGCCCTAGCTTGTCATGCATTCTTTCCAAAAATTGGGACTTTTCAAAAACTCTGAGGGATGCGGGACAAATTGTTCAAAATTGGGACTGTCCCACCAAAAGCGGGACATCTGGTCACCTTAATCAAAGGACACTATTAAAAGAGGGAAAAGTCAACCCACAAAATGAGGAAAATATTTTCCAGTCGTGTATCTGATCAAGGATGGCATACAGAATATATAAAGAACTCCTATAACTCAACAACCAACATTAAAACTCAATTAAAAACTTGGTAAGGAGCTTGAATAGACATTTCTCCAGAGATATACAAATGGCCAATAAGCATCTGGGAAAATGTTCAACATGACTAATCACCAGGAAAATGCCAATCAAAGCCACAATGAGCTTCCACTGCACACCTGCTAGGACGGTTACGCTTTCAAAAAGTGGAGAATAACAAGCACTAGCGAGGAGGTGGAGAAATTGGAACTCTCATGCATTGATGGGAATGTAAAATATGCAGCTGCAGTGGAGAACAGTTTGGTGGTACCTCAAAAAGTTAAACACAGAAATGCCAAATGAGGCAGCAGTTTCACTAGGTAGACCCCAAAGAATTGATAGCAGGGACTGAAGTAGATACATGTATACCAAGGTTCACCAAAGTACTATTCACAGTAGCCCAACAGTGGAAATAGCCCCAGTGTCCATCAACAGACAAAAGGAGAAATAGAATATGGTGTGTATATATATATATGTAATTAAATATTATTCAGTCATAAAAATGTATAAAGTTCTAACCCAGGCTACAATACAGGTGAGCTCTGGAAATATGATGCCAAGTGAAATGAGTCAGACATAAAAGGACAAATGAGCATGATTCCACTAGACGGAATGGCTGAACTAAGGAACTTAATAGAAGAAAGTAGATGAGAGTGGACCAGGAGTTGGGGAGAGGGAATGAGAATTATTGTTCATTGGGTACTGAGTTTCCGTTTAACTGATGACAATATTTTGGCAAAATAGAGCGGTGATGATTGTGAAACATTGTGAATGTAATTAATATCATTGCATGTACCATTACTTTTACGTTATATCTATTTTACCACATTACAATTTTGTTGAAGTTTGAATGATTGCTCGAGTGCCTGAATAAATGGAAAGTACACGAGCATACTTCTCACTCCCCATCCACCGCCCCACCAAGTTTCTTACCCTAGCGATCAGCTCTCCGACCATGCCCGTCCAGGTGCCGTTGGCCTCGGGAACGCCGTACACGCCATCCCCGACCAGGCGGATCTTGTAGTTGAATCGGAGGATCTCTGCCAGCTCCTGGAGCATGTCCACACAGAAGCCCTCGTAGCGGTCGTTGCCTTCCATCTCCTGGTGGTTCCCCTTCAGCATTAAATACGGGTTTTCCTGCAGCAAAACTGGGCAGCTGTCATGCTCACCTTAGCCGTGGCTTCTCAGCCATAAGTGATGGGGAGGGACTGGATGAGAGGAATTGGGGAGAAGACGGCAGGGAAGGGCTGGGGTAATGGGCTACTCTGGAGGTGATAGTTAGCTATGGTTTCCTGACTCGCTTCCCAAAGATCTCCTTCATGGAGGTCCTACTCCGATCAGTAACATACAATGGCTCCCACTGCACGGCACCACGCTGTAGTCTCTCCAACCTGTGCCAATTCCTTCCTGGGGTCCACGACCTCTCCATCCCTTGGTTTCTTTTCGTCCTTTTGCTTATTCTACAGAGATTTCTTGCTCTGATACCTCTTGTATCCAAGATACACCGACACCTGAGAAACTGACTGGGTAAGAATAAGTACGTGGAGAATTGCAATCCAAGGCGGGGCATGATCTGTCCACGACAGCACTGAGGAGAAAGATGCAGTTCTTCCAACAAAAACGCCCTGAGCAGGTGCCAGGGAGAAGGTGGATCAAAGCTGGGTTCAGGAGAATGATGGTAGACGGACAGCGGAGCATATGTCAGGAAGAATGAAGTCCGAAAGGCATGATCAAGAGCAGAAACCAGGGTAGGAAGAGCAGGGCCTATTCATGGATCCCCCCCTTACTACAACCAAGAGGTGTCTGGCGTGGTGGGGAAGGATACACTTAGAAAAAGGAATTAGGGTCAGGCTGGCTTTGGATGCCAGGATGAGGAGACTACATCATGCCATGTAGAGTGAAACATTAAAGGTTTTAAAGAGTAAAGAATATGAAGTACCCAGGGGGGAGAGTCAAAGAAATGAAGACAGACTCTCTTGAGAGATGATCTACTGAGGTCTGCAGCAGGGATTGGCTCAACTTGGATTGGAGACTGCAAGGATACCAGAAAAGACGGTAATGATTGGTTGGATGGAGTTTAGAGGAGAGCTTGGGACCCTTGGATCCGCTGTCTTCACTGGCATGGCTGGGTGGGGAGGGGACACGGAACATGTTGCATTTGAGTTGTGTAGATTGTCCAGGAGGACGTTCCCAACTGGATGTTTAAAATGTGGATAGCATGTATGACGGGGTACAGAGATTGGGATGGCTTGGTGCAGAAATGAGACTGCAGTCACACAGTCTTTTAGACCCTAGGGGGAAAGCATTGAAAGAGCAAATGTAAGAATAAGACCTTACAGAGCACATGATCTTAGAGACCAGAAGAGATGAGAGGCATTGAAGAAGAAAAGGGGAAGTGCCCGGGAAGGCTGAAAATCAGAACAATGCAGTCAAAAGTCAAAGAGGAACGATGTCAGATGTCCACACAGATGTCCGAACTATGAAAGGGCGTCTGGGTCAGGCCTCACTGGTGACCTTTCAGAAGGCAGGTTCACTGGGGCAGCAGAACTCTGCAAGAACTCAGGAGTGAATAATTGGTGCTGAAGTGAGAGGGGATCAGCATGTTGGGAAAACTGGGAAATCCAGGAAAGAGGGCCCCACGGCAGGCATGGAGCAGACTGCCTCCCCTCTGCCTGCTCGGAGTCATGCCCAGCCTGCAAGTTTATTCCTCCATCTGCATGCATCGCTGGGAGGGGGTGGGAGGGGGTCCCCTCAAGTCTACCCAGGGCCTTGATTCTCTAAACTGGAAGCTAGCTTGCAGGGTAGCTGGGAGTCAGTTAGATGGTCGAGTATATTTTTAGGCAGACAGGAGGGTATCCCTAGAAAGGAAAAGATTAGAAAAATAAGTAAGAAAAGTGGCACAAGGTCCCAGGAAGGCAGGTGGGAATCACATGAGTATGATGCTGGGAAGCAGGCCGGCAGGTAAGGTGGAGAGCAGGAGTGTAGATACGGAGCGGAGGCAACGCAGACCAGTTGCCAGAGCAGTGCAGAAAGTGGGGCAGGTGGGATCAAAGGTTCAGCAGATCCACTCTAGGGATACGAGTGACAGGTGAGCATAGGGATTGCCAAGGTGCAGCTGGGGACAGGAGACTGGATGCAGATCCAGAATTGGAGCCAGCGAAAGCTCTGGACAAGAACAGCTGAAGATGGGGACAGGTGTGAACTGAGATGGAAGAGATCACTGTAAGGTAGGAGAGGGACGCACTGGAAGGGTGATTTGCTGAGCTCATCCTGGAAGGGGCTGGTGGGCTGGGGGAACACGGGAGTTCAGGAGACCAGTTATCATGAGGGAGGAAGCGAGAGTGGCCTATGGCCCCAGTGACGTGTAAGAATGCCTTTGAAGTAGGTCAGGGAGGAGCTCCAGGTTGAAAGGAGTGTGGTTCGGATTGGTGACCTGGTGGGCACGACCTCATGTCAATGGGGTGAGGCCGATCTCTCCACCTTCCACACAGGCCACCCTCCACTCCAGAATCTCTTCTTCCCCATCGCAAATGTAGACTCACTCATCATCTCTGGCTCGGAGTCCCCTCCCCTCCTCCTACTCCAACCCACCTCTCAGAACTCCTCCTCACACTCAGGGCTCCTCACACTCTCTTCCAGGGGGTCCCCACCGATGCAGGCTCCCTAGGCAGGATGTGAGTGGGGCCAGGGACTGACCCCTGCTCCTCTGTGTGCCGCACCTGTCTTCAGAATTAAGCATGTGCCGACTGTGCGGCTGACAGGGTCTGAAATGGCTTTGGGGTCAGGGCTTGGCCAAGGGTTTCCATCCCGTTTGGCAACATCCCAGGGTATCTTGAATTGTCCTAAGGAGTGTCACCAAATTCTCCATCTCAAATACATTCCATTAAGGTTAAAGCTCACTTACATATTCAAAGTCAATATGATTTTGCTGCTCCTGGAGGGAGGAGACATGTTGGAGGGCTAAATTATCACAAAGAGTGGGGCTCCTGGCACTTTGGAAAGTAAGGGGCCAACTGCTGGTCTCTGGACCTTATCTGGCAGGAGCGTTGGTCAAACCAAAGAACCACTTGAAGTTGGTAAAATTGGGGTTTGATACCAAGTGGGTGTTCCAGGAGTGGGGGCTGTTGTCGGTAGCAGCCCTCCAGCAGGCTCTTCCCTCACAGTGACCCCTGCACAGCAGAATGGAGTGTTGGCCAAGCTCACCGCCACCGAGTCAATGCAGACTCCTTGCGACCCTACAGGACAGGGAAGAACGGCAGCTCTTTATGAGCAGCAAGCCCCATCCTTCCCCCGTGGAGTGGCTGCTGGATTCGAACTGCTGCCTTGGTACAGCCACCACACCCCAGGGCTCCTCAAATGTTGGCCAGTTGGCGATCCACAGGGTTTTCATCAGACCTTTCTCCCCAGTCCATCTTTGTGTGGCAGCCCAGTAAAGCCTGGTGAGCATCGTGGCGGCACCCACGCCTCCAAACAGGTGGCTGCACCTGAGGCCTCGTGTATGGAAAGGCTGCTAGATGACAGTTCTGACGACATCTGTGTATTTGAGGGCGGGAGCAAGTGCATCGGCAGGGCCAGGAGACGAGAGGGCATGCAAAGGAGACCTCATGCTGGGGTGTCATCTGCCAGGGATAATGCTCTAATGTGCACCCGTTGGGGCTGGGGGGATACCCACTATCTCCACGAATGCCTGCCGCCCTGGGACCCCTGGCCAGAGGGTGAGAAAAGCCACAGAAAAGGTACCAACTTTGGTAGGAGGGAGCAGCATGTGCAAAGGCCGAAGCCACAAAAGGCCAGGAGGTGCTGGGAAACCAGCAGGGGGTGCTGGGAAACCAGCAGCATTGGACTCCCAGTGGCATTTGGAGGAAGCAGCGAAAGTAGGCAGGGCCTGAAGGGTTCATATCTCGAGCTAAAGGTGGGAGGTGCTGCGGAGTCCCTCGGGGATGTTAAGTAAGGGACAAGTGGATCCCCTCTGCTTTTGGAATGACCACTCAGACAGGAGTGAGGGTGCAGGGTGGGCAGCTGAGAAGGGAGCCTGTTAGCAGGCTGTGCCGGAAGTTGCGGTGGAAGGGGTACCATGGGCCTAAGTGAGAGCAGAGGCCATGAAGGACACAGAGGCACCGAGGGGAAGTTGTGAGGTCTTTCAGAGCACGGGAAAGAAAGCCCAGCGGTCAGACTTCGCAGCCCCCCTGGCCTGGCTGGGCTGTCGCAGCTCTCCAGCTGGGCTGGCTCTGCAGCCCCCACTCCTAACCCCCCTTACCTCTCCGAGCTCTCACACTGGTTCAGACCAGCCAAAGCGGGAGCCAAGCTGGGGACCAAGGCTGGCAGCTGCGACTGCTCCCCGCTTTCCTTTGCTCAAATGTTCCCTCTGCTTGGACAACCCTTGGCTTCTCCCTCACCTCTTTTGGAGCTTTGCTTAGGTCGCACCTTCTCGCCCATCGCGTCCCCTTGTTTGGGGACCCCTCTCAGCACCCCAAAACCGCATCTCACACCCTATTGTTTCTTCCTCTTGTCACGGCGCTATTGTTGGCCGTCAACAAGCTGGCCCTCAACCCACAGCCACCCTGGATCAGACTTGGGCTCAGCAGGATTCTCATTGGCTGATTTTCAGAAGTAGACTGCTAGCCTTTCCTCCCTAGTCTGTCTGAATCACACAAGCCTCCACTGACAGGCGGTGGCGGCTCATCATTTTCTAGTTTCCGTATGGGCTAAAATTCACATCTCTCCTCCCAGGCTCAGATTCTCTGCTGGGATGCAAGTTCCTTACTGGCAGGGGCTTCTGACTGCTCAGACCCTGGATACTTCTCTCCCTCGTGTCCAGAACAGAGCAGGTGCCCAATACGCATCCACTGAGTGAATGAACACGTTCAGGGACCGGGGTTCCTTCCAAGGAAGGGAAAAGTCAACAGCCTGGCATGAAGGTTTCTAAGCAATTCCATCCAACCCACTGTTCTGGCCCTATGTCTCTGCCATTCTTTACCAGTGCCCATTCCCTGGGCCAACCTGCACTTTCAGTATTTCCCAGCCCACCCTGTCTTTTGGCGCCCACTTTACATGCCCCTTCCTCTCTAAAGGCTTTGCCGCTCTCTGGGGGGGAGAGGGGGATGAAGCTTCTAGCCTCTCACTACCCACCTCCCCCACCCCCCACCCCCCAGCAATAGCTTATCCCCTCTTTCACTGTGCTCTACTGACTGTAGACCAGTAACTCCTACTGCAGAGTTTGGGGAGCTTCAGAGTTCAGGGAGGTGGTGATGGAGGTCCCTAAGCCATCTGTATTATCTCAAAAACCTTGCCCTGAGCAGACACGTCTGCAGACCTGGCCTATTAGAGATAAGGTTGAGCAGACTAAGGAACACGTCAGGTCTCTTTGCTTTGGACTGCAATTACATCAATGTGGCTACACTGGCTATCGCTGGCCCATACGACGCTCAGTCGGGCAGAGAAATATGCTTCTGATTAAGCCCAGAAAGCAAAGGAGATGGGGAATGCACAAAATAATTATGGCTTCGTGTGGGCAGCTGGGTGAGCGGACACTATCCAAAAGCATGTTTTCAGGAGGGAAGGAGGGAGACCCCTGGGTTAGGTAGGAAGCCAGAGACTGACACATTTGGTCTTAGTGTCTTATTTTTCTGTCTCCAGGCTGAGCAAGCACAGGAGCTGGCACCTAGGGAGCCCAGTCACTTCTGCAGAGCAGGGAATACTATTTTAAAGGCCGCTGGCCTTGCCTATGATGCAGACTCGGAGACCTCTCCTCTCACCGATTTGGAAATGTGGATAGATGGCAGTCTAGGGATTCTAGGATAGACGGAAGTCTAGGATAGACGGAAGTCTAGATGGAAGTTTTGGAGGTGGGGAGATGGAAGGATTCATTTTGTACAGGATAGGAAGGGCGCCACAGCTGGGGAACAGCAGGGAGCACCCAGTGCACTGGGTCCAGTCCCCAGATGGGCTGCTCCCCCTGTAACAAGGTCCCCTTACCTTGGCCACACAGCTGCCCGGCTGTTGTCGGGGAGCCCCTGGGAAAAGCATTCTCTCTCTACTATCTCACAGCCCAGCCCTCATCCCCAGCTGCTGTGAAACTCATCAGACATCATTTCCATATGAAACAGCAACTGGAGTTTAATTACACTGCCATCAATTGGCCTCCGCCTTGTGATTAGAGCTCCCATCTCTGTGCCCTGGGAAAGGGAGCTGGTGAGGGCCTAGAGCTGGGTGAGGCACCCTGGGGAGCTGCAGCTGGGAGGCCCGGGAGCACCCCGCTTACCAGGATGGTGGTGACGACCAGGGTGGTGTTGAAGAGACTGTCTGAGATGTTGGAGGCGTAGAGGCGGCTGTCCATGCTGAGGCCCTCCGCCACATGCCACTGGCCGATCTGAGAAGACCAACAGGAGAGGACTAGGAGAATGGGGAAGGAGGAGGCCGGGAGCCTGGTCGCGGAGGCCCTCCAGCTCTCTGGGTCGGGGGAAGTGGGCACAGGCCAGGTCGCTGGGGTTGGATGAAGCTGAGAGGCCGCTCCCTGCCTCTGGCTGAGTGGCACTGAAATTGCAGAAGGAAGGGGAGATGTGGCCCAGGGAGCAGAGGGCGGGACTGGAGCAAGGAGAGGCTGCCCCACAGGTAGGGTTGGCTCTATGAAGGGTGGAGGGTGGAGGACAAGGTTGAGAGTGAAGAAAGACCAGGGAAACAACTTGAAGGGGGAAATGGGAAAATAAATCAGGAATGGGATGTACTTAGGGACGTTCTCTCACATGGAAGGTTCCGCCACATCTGGAATCACATTATGTGGAGGCAAGACTGTGCCAACTATTTAGCGTCGATCTATCTTCCATAATTCTGATGAAGTAATTACAGATGGGATATCGGAGAGAGCCAGCATCTACTAGGCCCTTTAATAAGTGTTTGCTGAATCGTTGACTGTACTAACAAAGGAAGCAGAAGGGGGAGATCCAGGCTCCGGCAAGGTCGACCTCTTGGCTGGCTGGGGAGCAGGAGGCAGCCAGCCAACTGAGTCTTCCAGAGCCTCTGTTTCCCCATAAATGTGAAGCTGGTAATGCTTGCCCGGTCTTCTCCACAAAGCCACTCTGAGAACCAACTGACATCACAGATGTGCCACTTGGATGCTACATTTTCCAGGCAGACCCAGGACCATGGGTCCCAACTGTACATCCCTAGAAATGGGGCAGACGACCTCTGTCCTGGGGACAGTTTTAGAAACTCAGCGGGTCACTGTGATGACATATTTAACCTGGGTTGAAAAAAACAAAACAAAAACGCTGTCTGTTTTCCTCTTATCCTTTGTCTTGAAGACCTCTACGGGGGATCCCCCCCACCCCCACCCCCTCACCCCCGCCGCGACTTATTGAGTCAGTCATTCGAGGAACTTCTCGAAACTGGAATTCAATCTCTAGGGAAACTCACTCACAATTTACTCGCTCATTCCAGAAACTTCCCTAACCCTAAACACGCAAGAGCTAATGAACTGTGTGTGTGGTGCTTGGTCTGCTTTCACGGCTTAGTTTTACAAATACAAACCACATGTGATAGAAATCCCAGGACCGTTCCAGTCTCTGGAGCCCTGGCAAACCCTGTCTGCTGCTGAATGGTGTGAGGTGGGCGGCCAGGAGAGCCGCTGACAGCGGGCTGGAAACCCTGCAAACGCACACACTGGCCTCTGCCAGGCGTCTCTGGGCTCCAACAGCAGCTTCCCTGGAAAACCCACACACGTCCCAGGGATGCCACGTGGCTCTGCTGCGCAGAGCGGCTCGGGCTCCTCTTCTGGAAGCTCCAAGAATAAGAGAGACGTGTCTCACCGTTGGTCACCTCACCACAGTCACAGGGCTGAGGGGCCATCTCCCTGACCCCCTCCAATGGGATCTTGTAAAGGGAAGGGCCAGCAGGGACCACGTGGACCAGGAACGGGGAGGTTTCCTCAGCCTGGAGTACCAGCCTGGAACGTGAGGTCTCCACAGCGGGGGAACGCTGCCTATCTGCAGGTGAGCCTCTTGCCTGGAGGGGTGTTCAGAAGCGTCCCGCCAGGCCTCTGCGTGGATATGGCCCAAGAGAGGGTACACAGTGGTCTCATCTATTCAAGGGCGGTCGGTCCTGTCCATGTGAGGTCCTGCTTAGCTTGTAGGCAGTATCCATCTGGGGCACCGCCACACAGCCAGTTCCATTTTACAGGAAAGGAAACTGAGGCCACACAACGAAGCCCATTTACATGCCTACAGGCACCCAGCCGGATAGCTGAGGGGGCGGAGCCTCCACCGCTAAGATGAGCCCCTCAGAGCAAACCTGCATAGTCAACTCATCCAGTGGTCACAAACGAAGGGGCTAAAAACACTCACGGGGAAAACCCACGGTAACTTCACTCCACTTCCCACCACCAATGTGACCCTCCACAAACCCACCCCCATGGAGCTGGGGCAAACAGCCTCATCCCTCTTCCTCAGAATGGCTGGTGCAGGTACCAGCCCAGCGCCTACCCCTCTGGAAGCCCCTCGTATTGGCTTGCCCATCTGCCTCCCCAGCAGCCTGTGTGGCTCATGCAGCAGGGGCTCGGACCCCAGCACCTGGCTTAGGAGGAAGAAGCCAGGCAACCTTCTATAGCAGATGCCTGCTGCCATGGGGGTGGGTGGAGGGCAGTGAGTTCTCTCCCCTGACCCTCAGGAATGCCCATTAGCTCCCAGGGGGGACAACCAGCCCGTTACGCCCTCATCTCTCTCTGCAGGAGAAAGGGCGGGGACAATGGAGGGTCAATAGCTAGACTTTCAAGTCAAAGGGGAAAGGTGACAACTACGGCTGGACTCTTCTTGCTGTGCTCAGTGTGTTGTGTTGTCTCATCTCATCCCCCTACCCACCAGGAAAATTCGTGGAGAGGGGAAACTGAGGCTCAGAGGAGTTTAGTGACCTAAGGTAATCGGCTAGCACCAGTTTGAGTCCTGCTCAGTCCGAATGAACCCTCAGCCTGTAGTCTCTCCAGTCCCTGCTGCTGTCTCTCAGCCAGGGGCCATAAGGACATCATTCGGACAGGCTGCCTGGGCTAACCAGGGGGCTGTCAAGGAGCTCCAGCTACCAGCTCACACTTGGGGGACATCAGTTTTCCCTCTTGGTGTCTGACACCCCTCACCGTCAGGTGAACCGATCTCCTCTTGGAGGTTGAGGGTCTGTCTTCAAAGGGGGTCGATTGGTTCTGATGGCCTCCTCGGCTGTGGAGGGCCACCTTTGGGCAGATGAGCAGAGAGAGCAGTGAGGCTAACGGTCAGCCTTTGGACACTCGGCTCAGGACCGAGTATCTTTGAGTCTGACCTGTCACTTACACACTCTCCAGCAACAGGCCCAGCAGGCCCGGGCCTCCCTGCCCACGTTCCGAACTCCAGTTCTTGTTCTCAGGGGACCCAGTCTCATCAACTACCTGACCTAGGAAGCTCTAACTCTGGGCTTTCACACCAGAGAGGCCTGCAGAAGAGCCAGGAATGAGAATGATGCATCCAGAGTGGGAGCCAGCAGTCTGAGCAAGAAGCCCACCTCCCTCCCCGACCTCTGGGAATGGGCAAAGAGACTCATTAGGCACCAGGCTCCAGCCAGGAAATGCATCTCCCACCCACCCTCCCATTAGCTCCCAAGAAATTAATAAACTCATCAGATCCAACAAAGCACTTGGCAGCTATTACCCAGTACGTCCTAATTGCAGAAAGGCAGTGGGAGGGAAAGGGAGAGACAGAGCCAGGCGCCCTGGGATACAGGCTAATTGCCCTATCCACTGGGCACCTTCGAAGCCACGCACATGCCAGGGTGGGCAGGAGAGATAGCAATCATCGCTGACAATCTGTGGCTCTGCCTCCAGCCAAATCTCCCCGCTCTGCCCTGCTGACACCTGCCCCGAAGCCTCCTGCAGGAACAGCTGTTTTGTAAGTCTCTTCCACATGCTCACATGTGCGGCCTCAATCACACTTTAAATAGTCTCTTTCTGTGTCTCTCTTTCCCCTCCCTCTGCCTGTCAGTGGTGACAGCCCTCCCCTCCACCCAGGGGTTAGAGTGAAGGGAGTAGAGCCGGTGGATTTGATGGGGCTCTGGTGGCCTGCCCAGCACCTTGGTGCAGCTAAGAAAAAGGTGTCTCTGGGCGGATGTGGCCCTGAGTGCACAGCTGGGCATTGACAGGGCTGATGGAGTGCAGCCTCTACTCTCCCCTGAGCAGCGCATCACCGGCATGGTGACTATAATGGCACTACGTTTGGAGCACTGGGGCTTAACCTGGCTTCTCTGCTTGTCAGCGCTGTGATCTCAGTTTCCCCAAATGTGGAAAATGGGCAGGGAAGTGGTAATGCCAATGTTCACTTGTCAGCTTGCCATACTGTGGGGGTGGGCATGTTGCTGCGACGCTGGAAGCTATGCCACAGACATTGTCAGTACCAAGACTTACTCTGGACATGCTGTCGGGAGAGACCAGTCCCTGGAGAAGGGCACCCTGCTTGGTAAAGTGGAGGGGCAGCGAAAAAGAGGAAGACCCTCAACAAGATGGATTGGCACAGTGGCTACCACAAAGGGCTCAAACGTAAGAAGCATTGCGAGGGTGGCACAGGACTGGACAGTGTTTTGTTCTGTTGTACAGAGGGTCGCTCAGTGGAGTTAGAACCAACTCCATGGCACCCGACATCCACACCAGAGTCATAGGAAGAAGAAGGGGCGAGGCAGAGGAAAGCCCTTGCTCCCAAGGGGTGCCAGGAGACGCACAGCATGGTGCTCTGAAGTGCACGTAGAGGAAACATGGCAGACTGAGGCAAGAGAAGGGTTTCCGCTGACTCCTTGCTGCTATTGGCGCCTATTCTTCTTGACATTGGGAGATGCAAATTTAGAGATTTCCTTTGGGCTCTCATTGCCCTCATTGTGCCTCTATCCATGGCAGACAGATTTCTGCAGAACTTCCAGGCTAAGTCCAGGAAGAAAGGCTTGGCATTCGACTGGTAAAATAATCAGCTAATGAAACTCCGTGGATCACAACAGAGTACTTGTTATCTGACTAGGTTGCAGGTGGTCACCAGCACGAGCCTCGCCGTGATTGTAACAATGACACAGGACCAGGCACTGCTGCATTCTGCTGTCCGCGGGCTGGTCATGAGTTGAACTGACTCAACGGCGACTAACAAAAATGGCCAAATAGTGATTATTATCTCATAAGGGCTGAAAAGCAAAGTTACATGTGATCGTTTTTAACATCCTTTCCTGTGTCCGGAGGTGAGATGTTTTCTACATCCCACTGCAGACCCTCGTTTATCAGACAGTCCCAATTGTCGCTCCCGGAGGAGCAGTGGAAGTGTGAGAAATGCAAATCTTGGGGTCCCCCTCTAGACTAACCAAATCTGGGACCCGGGGGACAGG